TCAGCGTCGACTGGACCCGCCTGGCCCAGCGGACGGCTCGCCCCTGGAGTGGGCGAAGAAGGGCCGGTGGGACCGGCTGCGGCTGGCAGCGGTCAGGGCCTCGGCCGACTCCTTCGACCTGGGCGGCCTGGAGTTCCATTCGTCTGTGGCCCAGGGGAGGAAGCTCATGCCGTGTGCCACGACCCCGGCGCCGACTGACGACGGGCGGGCCAAGCCGCGGTCGACCAGAGGGCGGACCCCTCGCGACGCAGACGCCCGTTGGCTGGAGGGCGGTCGCCAGTTCGCCCCATGGCACTACACTGTGGAGGCCATGCTCCAGGATTCCAAGGGCGTCCTGCACATCCCGCCGCCGGAGGTGAAGGAGCAGCTCCACCACATACCGACCGGGTACACCGCCAACACCGGGGCTGACGCCAAGACGCGCCGCCGCATGGTCGGGAATGGATGGCACTGGGGCGTGGCCTCCAGGCTCCTGGGCCTCCTCGTCATGGCGACCTGGGCCAAGCCGGTGGCGTCTGGCGCTTCGCCCGCCCCCGAGCCGCGCCGGGGCACTATCCCTTGGCTATCCCAGTTTTGGGTCCGCCGGGGGTGGGACCTGTCCCCCCCCCCAGGCCAGAGCCGCAGGTCTTGGGCGAGGGCTTGGACGAGGACCGCCATTGGGCGGCCGCGGCCCGCATGAAGCACTCGCTGGTTGGCTGGCCAACCCTCGAGCCGGCGTTGGAGGCCATCCTGGAGTTTCGCCGGGAGTGGCGCCACGACCTCGTACGCATCCGGCGGGACGTCCTTAGAGAGCTCCAGGAGATGGTCGAGGACGGTGCGGACGATAGTGACGCCTGGTTGGCGACTTTGCCCGACCACGTGCGGGCCACCTACGTCACCGAGGATAGGCCCCGACCCTTTCAGGGCCTGGTGCTCGACCGCCTGCTCCGGGGCGTGGGCTACCCCGCGGCGGACGACCTCCAGCAGGACGTGAACGCCGGCTTCGATATGCTGGGGCCGGTTCGCCCGGCTCCAGGTGCCTACAGTCGCCCTGCCCTCGG